ACCAGTTGCCTCGGGAAAGTACCATCTGTGCCGACGCGCCGCCGAGTGCCGCCGAGCCCCGCCGAGCGCCGCCGAGCGCAGAGTGAGACAAGTTTTTAATCCCGATAGATCCCTCTGACTGGCTTCTTCAGTATCGCCCTCGGGCTCCAGCGGCGCCGGTCCAGGACGGCCCGTCTGTCTGTCTGTCTGTCTGTCTGTCTGTCTGTCTGTCTGTCTGTCTATCTGCCTGCCTGTCTGTGGCCTAGAAGACCGGTGAAGGCGGTCAAAATCCTGGACGGTTTTTGAGCTCTAGAGTCGCTAAGAAGTACTCAAACCAAACATGTGACCCCACCAATGGATCGCTCTCCGAACGAGGAGTCCATCGGTGGGGTCACACGTTCGGTTCGAGTCCCATTTAGCGACTCTGGAGCTCAAAACGCGTCTAGAGTTTTGGCCGCCGGTGCCGGTCCTCCGGCCCACTGTGCGCCTGTCCGTCTTCTGCACTACCTTCTCCTCCTCCCCGGAGACGGGCCGGGCCGGCCAGCGCGCAACACCTCTGGCCGCCTAGCAGTGTGGCAGTGCCTAAGTGAGATACATACTCGGGCGTCACAGCGGAAGGCAAGCGCACGGCGACTCTCTCTCCTCTCTCTCTCTCTCTCCTCTCTCTCTCTCTCTCTCTCTCTCTCGCTTGGCCAGGCTTGGCCCGGCCCCGGCCTGGGTCCTGGGTGCGGCGAATTTCGGAATTGCTCATCAGGGAGACATTCGGGGCCACCGTGTCTCGTGACCCGCCGCCTCATAACGCCACCTCATTTTTTGTCATTTTTTGGGCGGCTTCCCCCGACACGCCGCGTGCGCGCCACACCACACACACACACACACACACACACACACACTCTTACCGCAGCAAGCGCGCGCTGAATTCAAGCGCAACACCCAGCAATGATTTCCATCGCTACATCTTGGAGTGTGTTTCTTTTTTTGTCAAAGGCGCGCTGCTGCTCTAGTTAGTCCTGAAGCACTGTTCGTTAGGTGGCCCGATGCCGGCTCGGCGGGCGGCCTCAAGGCCCGAAGGCCCGAAGGCCCGAAGGCCCGAAGGCCCGAAGGCCCGAAGGGTGGTGTCCATCGGCGAGTGGGCCTCCCGGATCGACGCTGCGACGTCCAGGGGAGGGGAGGGGGGAGGGAAAGTGCCCGAGCGTGGTTTCCGGCCAAGTTCCGGGGGACAGCGCCTCCGGACTCTGCAGCGGCCGCTGGGACCCGGCCGGGAGGGCCCTGCTCCGCCGCCCTGCCGCCCCCGGCGGGGCCCCCGGCGGGGCCCCCGGCGACCAGGCGGCCTGCACGCTTCCGCAGGGGCCTCCCGACGCCCCGAGGTGTCCCTGGTTAAGTCAACTCAATTTCTCTCCCGTTTTCTTTCCTCTTCCCCCCCCTCTTTCTCTTTTTTTTTGCCCAAGCACCGACTGCGAATCTCGGAGCCGCTCGCGCCGCGACGTGCACGATGAGTGAAGCCTGCGGCGGCGCGGGGGGACTTGCAGTGGCCCTGCCCGTCACGCACGTCAGGTCTGGAGGCCGGCATGCACTTCGCACTCTCTGCTGTTGCGACTCGGTGGCCCGTGCGATCCGTCAAAATGGCAAAGTCACGGCCTTTTAGCGCGCGCGCACACACGCACACACACACACACACACACACTCACACTCAGAGACGAAATCACGAACACAGACACACACACACACACACACATACACACACAGACAAAGACAAACACACACCTACACACACGCTTGAATCCTTTCTTTCCCTTGTAACTCTGACTAACACAGTCACACCCGCGCGTTCATCACTCTCTCTCTCTCTCTCTCTCTCTCTCTCTCTCTCTCATCTCTCAGTCATCTCTCCTCTCTCTCTCTCTCTCACACACACACACACACACACACACACACACACACACACACACACACCGGGACGCCGCTTCCGCATCGGGTCTATCGGAAGCTATATGACAGCCGGCCGTGGATGCGTGAAGCGCGACGCGGCGCCTCGGCGTGAATCGAAAACGAGCCAGTCACGCCATCCATCATGCCGACAGACGTGGCTGCGGCTAGACGCGCCTAGACGCGCTGCATCTAGGAAGAAACCGCGCATCCGCCATTAGTTTGAGTGACGAGCGGCGCAGAGTTCCAAATTTGGGGCGGCAAGTTTTGGCGCGGCCGCGCCGTCGGCGCGTCGGCAGCGTCCGGCACACGCCGAGCAGCGGCTGGTTTTAATGGCGACCGAAACTCCAGACGCGTTTTGAGCTCCAGAGTCGCTAAACGGGACTCGAACCGAACGTGTGACCCCACCAATGGATTGCTCTCCGAACGAGGAATCCATTGGTGGGGTCACACGTTCGGTTCGAGTCCCGTTTAGCGACTCTGGAGCTCCAAACGCGTCTGGAGTTTTGGCCGCCTCCACCTGTCTTCTGGCCCACAGTGCGTATAGGTGCGAGATAGACAGAGCGAGGAAAATGGCTCTCGGAATCAGCCTGGAGTTGAGGCGGTCCTCGGGGAAGACCGACCGCCGCGCGCCAGCGGAGTCAGACTCGATGCAAAATGCAGGCGGCTGCCTTGCAGCGCGCTGCGCTAGAGATGGCAAAAGTAAGCGAGTAAGACCCGCCAGTCAGTCATCTCGTATTCTTTATTTTATGTCATTGTATAGTTAAAGCTTGCCTCGGTCACGGTTCACGGGAAGGAGACTTTTGTGTGTCTTAGTGAGTCGCTTTCCAGTGTCCCCGCAGTGCGCTGAATTCGGAGCCATTTGGAGGTTATGGCCGTCCGCTGGGCGTCCAGCCGACGTCGCTGTTCCGTGAAGAAGGCGGTGAGGAGGGCGTCGTGTGTGCGGGGCGCCAAGTTGGAGCGACACCTCCGAGCCCCACCTGTATCGTCCGGGCCCCGCCCCGCCCCGCCCCGCCCCGCCCGTCGAGTTGGTCGCCGAGTTGCCGCCAAGTTTTAACGCGAGCAGCTGGGGTCCCTGCAGGGCGAGCCCGCCCGGTCGGCCTGGGTCGGCCAGCAGACTGATTCCGAGAGTCGTTTCCGTCGCTCTGTCTCTCTCGCACCCATAGGGGACGCTCCACATGGGCGCGAGAGGGACAGAGCGACGAAAACGGCCCCTCGGAATCAGTCGCTGCCCGGTCGGCCTGGACTTGGACTCGGTCAATCTTGCGGCCTGCCTAGCCGTGCTCCTGCCACGCCTGCGGTTCCAAGGTGGCCGGCAGGGGGGGGGGGGGAGAGGCCCCAGGTGGGAGAGGCGGAAGGGCGTGTGCCTTCTTCGCAATTTCTTAGGCAATTTCCTCGGCAGCACTATCGGAGGCAATCACTCCCTGGGTCAGTCACACACACACACACACACACACACACACACACACACACACACACACACCACAACACGACCCTATAAACACGCGCGCTTTGCTGTGTCGTGTGTCCTTTGGCAAAAGTCGTGATGCCTGCCAAAAAATATTTGTGGGTGTCTAGCCAAATTTGTTTTCACAGTGGAGATGCCCAACAAGTGAGCTGAGACGCTGGGTGCGCGGAAGCGTGCAGTGTACACCCCGAAGCCTCAGCGTCACGTGACCATCCGTCCGTCTGCGAGGCTGGCTGGCCTTCCGAAAGGCTTTCCCGGCAGCCACGGAGGCCCCCGGGGTCAGTCGTCACACACAAACTTGACATTCAACCCTCCAGGCGATTGACTTAACCCGCGCGTTTTGCCCGGCGCTGTCCTTTGGAAGGACGTGGCCTGAAAATTTTGGGGTGCCCTAGCCCTATGAAACAGGGAGATCCCCGGGCAGAGGGGGGCCGGAAGCGTGGGGGAAAAAGCCTGCGCAACAACTCTCGCGAGGTTTGGGCTCCAGGCGCCTCAGGCTCGCCGACTGTGTGGCCCCAAATTGGATTCCCTTCGAGGCTGTTGATTGGGGGTCCCGTTCGGTTTCCGAGGACCGAGGATGAGAAACTGGGGAAAAGGTGAAAAGCCCCCCTAAAAAGGGACCTCGCCCGGGTCTGGGCGGGCCCCAGGGGGTGCCGGGGCGGGGGGGGGGCGGGGCGGGACGTGCGGCAAATACCCGAACAGGGAATATGCAGGGACCGCGGGGTGGGCCCCGGGGGAAAAGGGACCCGCGAAAAAAAAAAAATAGTTTGGCCTCACGTTTGCCGATCTTAGGACCCTTTGGGGACCCTGCCGGGCGCAGCGGGTTGCAGCGTGACTCTGCAGAGAGTGGACTCGAAATTACTGTGTTTTTTTTTGTCCGAAGCTTTGCGCTTAACTGAGAGTACGTTTAAAAATGCACCAGTTCGTACAAAAACGTGCATCGTCATACGGCACTTCCTGCACTAAATTCGTGTACTTCACGCGCATGCCTGCGACTTGGTGCACGAAAAAACGGGGTAGTAATTTACTGTGTGCGAGTGAGAGGGGATGACGAGTCCTGAATAATGGACGAGTCTGGCCCGAAGTGGTCTTTGAGCCAAGTAATTACATACGTCTCCACCCAGTCCATCAGGCGGCCCCGAGGCCACGGCGCCGGGCGACGCGGGTTCGACTCCCGACGGCGGCGGCGCGACACTGCGCGCGAAAACGCCGCAGTCTGATTGGTGGCGTGATAAGGGTGAAACAAGTTCGGAGCGATCGGGCGAATTTGGGCCGATTAGTCATCGTTTTTGCCCGTGCTTCTTGTTCCCCAAACAGGGCCTGGCCGGCCTGCCCGGGCAGCCACTAGCAAACCCAATTATGTAATTTGACACGTCGCGCGGGGCAGGCCGGGGCAGGCTGGGGCAGGCACGCTGGGCGTCGCGTAACTCGGCAACAAGCCGACCCGGCCGGGCCGCGGGCTGACCCTCTGGGGGGTGCACCCTCCATGGCGCCACCACGCCCCGCCACGCCCCGCCACGCCCCGCCACGCCCCGCCACGCCACGCCCCGCCACCGCCACCGGCCTGCGACAGCCCACACTGCATGTACACGGGATTTGGGCCCGGGTCAATTACTACACGGCTGAGTTAGCAAACTGACGGTAATATTTATTTATGCAGTATACATAAAACAAATTTCATTACAAAGTGGCATTTCCCCCTGCTCACGCACTCGCTCCGTCTCTACACAGCACTCGCGCGTTTGCCACGCGAGAGAAACAAAAAGATAGGAACGGAAGGAAAAAACGCCATTCAGTCAGAAGAAAACATCGTCTAGCATTCCGAATAGAGTTACCCGCCCCAACCCCTCCCCTTGCGCTACCTAAGAATGTCTTTTTTTTTCAGACGGCACTCACACTCACACACATATAATCATAGACATTTATTTGTATGTACAATACAGGTAAAATATACTTCTCGAAGAGTTAAGAGTAGATCAGAAATAAATTCAAGAACACATTTCACATAATGCAGTAAGTAAAGTCGGAAGCAGAGTATTTTCCGTAAGCTAGTCACAGCTAAGCTTTAGTCACATGGACTTTATAAAAAAAATCTGATCTGAATTTTATAGATGTGACTTGGCTAGGTTACGAAAAACGCCCCATTAACAGGCAATATACCGTAATGGACTTTTTCTAAAGCAGTTACGTCACCACGGAACAGAAAGCAAACGTTATGTTATCTTAGCCTAAATTCCATAAAATCAATCCTCAGCTTTGACTAGAAATGTAGCCTCAAACTACAGTCTGAGAATATCCGAAAAAGAAAACAACGTATGTACAACAAAATTCACATAATATGACACAAGTCGAACAGAGCCGTGTCTAATATTCTTAACTCAGCAGCATAAACACACATTTAACTTGTCACATAACATTCACCCCTTTTCTCACAGCGTATTCCAAAATAATTTTTCTAAATTTCTTGAGAGCCAAAAGTAGGCGTCGTTTCTGTCGACACCAAGCGGCTGGGGCAATTAGATCCGAAACCGCCACTCTTGACTTGAGGTCACACTCACGCGTCCTTGGACGCACACAGACACACACGCACGCACACCAGAGTAGGTACAGATGACAGAGTGATGCATTTTACAGTAGCGCTGCTTCCCGGCGACAGCGGCCAGTCGAGTCGGGGAATAGGGGCAGGGTTGACGGTTCGTGCTTAGGATGCTCAATTAGGAAGCAAGCCGGTCCGAGAATGACGGATGGAGAGGCAGCGCCCCGCCGCCCCACCGCAAGTCGGATCTGTCTCTGGCTAGCCTCGCTACAGGCAGGCCTAGCCTCAGGCCGAGCCTCAGGACGAGCGCCGCCGTCCGAAAGGACCCAAAGAGGACGCCGAGGCTAGATTGATAACTCCCGGCCAGCAACACAAAGAAACATTGGGGAGAACCGTACAACCGACCAAGACTCGGAGACTTCAAAGTCTCCGGAAACGGACACTGGGAAAAATCATGTTTTTAAGATTTTTTTTTTACTTGCCGCTTTTGTTTTTTCATTTCGCAGGACGTCTGGGACTGAAAGAACTATACAACAATCAAGGACATTTTGCTAAAGCGGTATCGGGTTGTGCTTTATGAGTAACAAGTGAAACTATCTGGTGTTTTTGTTGAGGGAACTTCGTCCTCTCAAACAACAACAAAACAACGACCAGGAACGAAACGAGAAGATTCTTTAGTGATGACGAGACCAAGTCTCAGAAGGTTTCCTACATGTGGCGTGCTCACACAGCCCTTAAAAACAAGCGGCAAACACATTTTTTAGCTAAAATAGAGAGGTGCCTCGAACAAACACAGACGAAGAAACTTTACAACGTATAATAATGTACAATATATCCTATTTGGCAAATGTTTCATATATATTACATCGCTTTACAGCGCACTCCACTCTCTGGCCGTGATGTTGTCCCGTTCCATTTGTTCCCTACATTTTACAAAATATCAAATCTCTTCTCTTCCCGCGGCTCTATTTACTTGTTTGGTCCACTCAACACGGTTTGTTTTCTTTTCTTAATCCCTACTCGCTGTGCCGCCGACCCTTGCGGGCCTCCGAGGGGTGGGGAGCAGGTCCATCATGACGTCCTCAGGGCGGCCACCAGGATGGCGACGAGGAGGCTGAGGGGCACCGAGGCCACGCCAGCGGCCCCCGACGCGGGCAGCGCCGAGGCCGGGGACTCTAGACACGTCCTGTAGTCGCTGTACAGCAAACGCGTGATGGCGCAGTAGTGGTATCGCTGGCACTGCGGGTAGCAGTTTTCGGGCCCGTCGTACAGCATGGCCGAGTTGGCCCGGTAGTACCTGGACAGGGAATTCCACTCTCAACGCTTTGCTTGCACCTGTTTACCGCGAATCCACACCGGACTCCGACTTTGATTTCGAACAGTTTTTGCGGTTTGCTCACCGTGCGAAGCTGGCCGGGCCGAGCTCCGGGTCCGTGAAGGACTCCGCCAGGGCGTCGAAGGCGCGCGCGTTGACCTCGCGCATGCCGTAGTAGCTCGTCAGGTTGTAGCCCAGCTGCCAGTCGGCGCGGCCCTCCCGGTTGGCCCTGGCCAGGTCCAGGTAGTACTGCGAGTAGTCCAGCACCTGCCCAACACAACACTCCACTGTCAAGCGGCGCATCCGGATTTAACCTCACTTTTCTGAAAACCCCGTTCGGTCAGGTCTCATGCCCAGTGGGCTAGAAAACCGGCGGCGCCGGCGGCCAAAAATCTAGAGGCGTTTTGAACTCCAGAGTCGGTAAAAAGGATTCAACCGAGCTTGTGACCCCACCAATGGATTCCTCCCCAGCAATCCATTGGTGGGGTCACACGGTCGGTTCGAGTCCCATTTAGCGACTCTGGAGCTCAAAACGCGTCTTGTGTCTTGGCCACCTCCGCCGGTCTTCTGGCCCACTGTTCGACAGCGTCCGTCAACGCATCGCTGGGGTCGGTTCCGGCTTGGGTACTCACGCTGCCCGTGGTGTTGTCGTACTTGTAGAGGCGGATGCCCGGGTTGTTGGAGCCGCCCTGTGTCCGCCGCGGCGTCACGGAAGGCGGCATCAGCATCCACGACACCGGGGAACCTGCAATCAAGCGGTACCAGGCGTTCTTCAAGCGTCCTCAAACTCCGCCATTTCGACAAAACCGTCTCGCGGATCCCCTGACCGGTTGCTTGGGCCCGTCAGAGCTCTTCTGTGCAGACACTGTAAAAAATTCCGTACTTTTGTACGGAAATGGTATAGAAAAATATAGAACGGGTAGGGAGAAAAGTACGGAACGTTCCGTATTTGCTCCATATGAACCCATGTAAATGGGTACGGAAAAAAAGTACGGAACGTTCCTTAGTTGGCAAGTACGGACGTTCCAGGCAAATTATTGACCATACACGTTCCGTACTTTTTCCGTACTTTTTTCTCACAGTGTAACAACTGCTTGAGATGCCAACAAAGAGTTTCCTCCAGAGGATGTTCCCGCGTCCACGTCCAACACGTCCAACACGTGTCGAGTCCAATGCCTGCACCGCGCGGAGGCGAGGCGTGGCGAGGCGAGGTCCGTGATGTATCATGAGTCGGGCTCCTCCGGCTTGACGGCCGGAAATAAGCCGCGTCAAATAAATTATTTGGCGTCGTGTCTGCTCGCCCCGTCCGAGCGGCCAGCGCACGGACGCAGACGGGCGTAATCAAATTAAAGAGACAAATTAAGCAGATAAGGAACTCGCTGCGCCCGTCGAAGCCGCGCGATGCACAGTGGGCCAGAAGACCGGTGGAGGCGGCCGAAACTCTGGACGCGTTTTGAGCTCCAGAGGCGCTAAATGGGACTCGAACCGAACGTGTGACCCCACCAATGGATTCCTCGTTCGGGGAGCAATCCATTGGTGGGGTCACACGTTCGTTTCGAGTCCCGTATAGCGACTCTGGAGCTCAAAACGCGTCGGGGATTTTGACCGCCTCCACTGCGGTCTGTCGTTGCGGTTCCGGATTTATACTCCTAACCAGCCAACTGCACTACGGTGTCTTCGGCGTTATTTTCCTGGCTGCTTTTTTGTCATCAAGACCACCAGCATCCCGAGCCCTCAAACCCCGCGCCTATCTATTATTATTTTACCTTCAAAGAAAAATCTCCAGCCCGCAAAAACAAAAACAACAACAAGAAAAGGAGGCCGGATTATAGTGCGCCTGGAAAAAGGAGGTGAGGGGGAGGGGGGGGGGCGTCGCAGGGATTCATTACTGTGCGGTTCGAGACGCCGGCCGAGAGCTTTGCCGATCAATTCCTTCGTTAGCGTCGTCGGCCCACAAAGGGGCCGCGGGGGCCCTCCAGTTCCATTTCGGCCGCTTTGTTTATTTTTCTTCATATGGCGGCCGAGCCGCGCGCGACTGGTCGAATCGGGATTAGGAACGAAGACGCGGTAATAATGGACCCTGTCCTCTGCTGACAGCAGGTGGCGCCTGGATGGGGGCTGATAATCGCTCGGCTAGGTCGCTAGCAGCAGACTGATTCCGAGAGTCGTTTTCGTCGCTCTGTCTCTCTCGCACTCATGGGGGTTTCCGTATATGTGCGAGAAAGACAGAGTGACGGAAACGACTCTCGTAATCAGTGCTCAGAGTGCTGGATTTGGACACTGACCCGCAGGGGCGCACAGTGGATTTGCCATAGAAGACCGGCGCAGGCGGCCGAAACTCATGACACGTTTTGAGCTCCAGAGTCGCTAAATGGGACTCAAAACGAACGTGTGACCCCACCAATGTATTCCTCGTTCGGAGAGCAATCCAACGGTGGGGTCACACGGTCGGTTCGAGTCCTACACAGTGACTCTAGAGCTCGAATCGCTTGCAGAATTTTGGCCACCTCCACCAGTCTTCTGGCCCACTGTGAGTCCACCAATAAAATGAGTCTTGTCGTTCGTCGTTACCTGTGTCGTTCTTGACCACCCGGAAGGTGTCGGAGTGCCTGTTGCTGAAGAACTGGCCCAGGATGACGTCGGAGTAGCGCTTGATGGTCTTGAGGAAGCGGGTGTTGTGGTGCTCCAGCAGGCCGCCGTGGCCGCTTGCCAGAGTGGGGTTGGTGGCCCGGTCGTCCGCCCCTGGGGCGGTGTGTCCCACGAGGTACACCTGAAGGAAGAGGAGAAAATATTACTCGCCCGCCGCATTCGGCTCTATTTGCTAGGATGTTTGTGTGTCCCCCTCCGCCGTCGATGTGTGTGTGTGTGTGTGAGAGAGAGAGAGAGTGTGTGAGTGTGTGAGTGGGAACGCGGCGTTAGTGTGTACAGCTGGCTCAATATTTAATTGCCCTACAAGCATGAGTCCTTTGGTGGGTACACCGCTCGAGCCACTGCAAAAAGCACAATTTGCGAACGTCTTTGGAAGGTTTACAAGGAAGACTTTCCGGAATTTCCTCACTTTTCCCCGTGTTCCTTTCACGTCGTCAGCAATGAACTGCCAATTTATCTGTGGACATTGGGTCTGACATTTTAAACGAGGTGGCACGAAAGTCACGCTGTCGTCGACCATTCCATCAAACGAGGGAGCCACTTTTACTTGCAGATTATCAACAATATTTTAACAGTGGTCTCTCCCCCGGTCCGTTGGTGTCAAAGAGAGCACACCCCAACCCTCCCTCCCTCCCTCCTCTTCGGCGTGCCTCGATTCCAATCTAATATCTCCGGTTGCTACCTATCCTCTTTCAGGTCGCAAGAGGTTCGGGGCGAGAGGGCTGGAGGGGTTGGCTGGCGGCAGAGAGAGTCGAGTGGAGATCTTCACAAGGGGTACGTGGCAGCAATGGTGAGAGGCTCATTTGAGACAAATCAGCGAAGGCCGACGCGAAAAGCGACAAAGTCCGAGTGGGTCTCGTCGAGACGGCGATACACTGTGAGTCAAAGCTCTGTTTGAAAGCAGGCCTCCAATTTCAAAAAAACGAGTGGGGGCGATAAGGACAAAAGACACGAGAGAGAGACAGATGGATGGGTGGATAAGGTGAGGCGCCGCCTCGGACACGCGGGGTCGGCATGACCGTGGTGACACACTGACAAAAAAAAACGGACGAGAAAAAAAGCGGAAGATAGATTGTGGGTATTCATTTTCCTGGGGCGGGGAGGCACACATGCTGCCAATCTATTACCTGCGATAAAAATCAGGAGGCGCCAGTATGGCACGGTGCTTCTGCCGGACTGGCTGCCAGCCCCGTCAGCCCCGCCTGTCCCGCCAGCCCCGCCTGGCCGTCCTGCTGCCGCTAAATGCGCACCGTAAACTTTAACTACCGTAATCTTGGTCCTGCCGCCGAGGCGCCTGGCCGGCCTCCTTTCCACGCGGGGACATGGAGGAGAAAATAGGCGCGACAACAACAACAAAATAAAGCCCCTTTTTTTTCGAGTGTGGCCTCGCAGACTGAATCCGCGAGTCGTCTTCGTCTCTCTGTCTGTCACTCTTGCACCAGTGCGGCACGCCCCATGAGTGCGAGAGAGACAGAGCGACGAAAAACGCCTCTCGGAATCAGTCTGCTGCCGCCGCCTCGGGAATATCTTGGGGCGGTCCATTCAAGTCGGTTTGGCCGCAGTGACTCTCATTCGGACCGCTAGGCCGAATCGCGCGGCCCCTCGCACGCACACACGCACACACACACACACACACACGCGCACGCACACACTCAGACGCGCTTGCGCTCAAACCGCCAATCCTGGACTACGTCAAGCCGGGGCGTTGCGTTGGCGGAAGCGGACGGCGGCCCACAATCAGGGTATCCACTGCGCCCCGCCCTGCCCCGCCCCGCCCCACCCCGCCCCGCCCCGCCCACCCCGCCCCGCCCCACCCCGCCTCGGCGGCAGGACAGGCAATCACGATGTGATGTGGTTCGGTTCCGTCCGGGCTGTGCCTGTGTGGGTGTGCCGGCGGCCGCGGCCCGGCGTCCCTCGGCACAGCATCTACTCAGACGGTGGTGCCCGGCCACGCCGCACAGTGGGCCAGAAGACCGGTGGAGGCGGTCAAGATCCCGGAAGCGTTTTGAGATCCAGAGTCCGCTAAACAGGACTCGAACCGAACGTGTGACCCCATCAATGGATTCCTCGTTCGAAGAGCAATCCATTGGTGGGGTCACACGTTCGGTTCGAGCCCCATTGAGCGACTCTGGAGCTCAAAACGCGTCCGAGTTTTGGCCGCCTCCACCGGTCTTCTGGCCCACTGTGTGCCGGCCGCCGCGCTCGGGTTCACCGCCGGGACGACGCCGGCGTCCTTTTTTCGCCCCTCCATTCTGCATAGCGCGTTGAACCGGGCCGGAAAGCCCGCGGTCAAAGATGGACGGACGGATATTGACCGCGGGATTGATTCCTGCAGCGGACAGACGAAGAGAGAGGAAAAAACACGCAGACGGCGGTATTCGAACCCCGGCCCGGCGTCGTCGTCGTCGCTTTTCCGTCCACGCTGCGGTGACTCGATTCTTTGCGTCATCGCGCTGCGGACCGGACGAACGAGTCTACCCGTCTACCCTCCAGGACCCAGCACAGTGGGGCAGGAGAACGGTGGAGGCGGTCAAAACCTCCGACGCGTTTTGAGCTCCAGAGCTGCTAAATGGGACACGAACCGAACGTGTGACACCACCAATGGATTCCTTGATTAGAGAGCAATCCATTGGAGGGGTCACACATTCGGTTCGAGTCCCATTTAGCGACTCTGGAGCTGAAAAAGTATGGAATTTCAGCCACCTCCACCGGTCTTCTGGCCCACTGTGGCTGGCGTAGCTTCCCCTTGTGGCCACGTCAGTTTTAAAAGTAGCTCTCAAAACGCACGAGTCCTAATGATTGCCATAAGCTCTGGTCTCCGGCTGAAATTCGGGCTCTGCCCTCGAGAAGTGGCCTCACCAAAACGGACGGGTGAATTTCGGCCCACTGATGTGGCCGCACTGGACCGCCCTTTGCGGTTTTCGTTGCGTGAGGGATTCTTTTGTCGGCGGCCAGTTCTCCGCGGCGGATCAAAGGAGCGTGTATGATGACGGCAATGGGGAGGATGACGACAAACACGATGGAGTGGGCGGGGTTAAGCCCGGCCCGCTCGTCGCTCCGTCTCTCTCGCACTGACGGAGCGTCCGCTGTGGGTGCGAGAGAGACAGAGCGACTCTCGGAATCAGGCTGGCGGCCCGGCCTGGCCCGGCATGGCCACTGCCCCTGGCAACGACAAACCACACCGCCTTGCGCAGTTTGGTCCAGACCGCCACAAAGCCTTCCCCCTCCACCACGCACCGCGGCCGGCCTGCTTGCCCTCACCCCAGGGCACTTCTCATCATCATCTGGCGAGGCGGCCATCTGCGCGGCATCTGCCTTGCATCTGCGCGCCAAGCCGATGACATTCGCGCCGTATACTCTTTTAAATATCCCTTCTTTTTTTTTGCAGTTTTTATTTGCCAAGAAGCTTTCCACGTCGAGGTGATCAGCGTGGAGCGGCTGGCGTTTTCTGTTCGCGGGCTCTCAACGTCAAGGGATCATCCTGAAACGGTACGTGATTGGCTGTGGAGCGCCTGCGTTGGAGCGGGTAGGCAAGCCCGCGAGACACGGCTGCACCCGTGTTGCCTACCTGCCAGGCGCCCGCAGCCACCGAAGTGGCTGAAGTACTTAAACGTTGCCCGCGAAGCTCGCGCAGCCAAGTGACTCGGTGACACACTGTCGGCTTCCCAGTGTAGGTGGCGCCTTGCCGCTCGCGTGCCGGCACTGTTTACGGCCATCGTGACGGCGGGGGGCGCTTTCTGCGTGAGACTGTGATTCGCTCCGCCAAGCGTGTAATAAAACATGACAGCCGCCCTCGCCTCGACTCCCGCCTCCATCACCTTCCTGGGGGTTCTGGGCCGCGCGGCCGGCCCCGGACACGGCCTCGGGCACGGCCTCGGACACGGCCCCGGGCACGGCCCCGGACAGGGGGTCAGCGACGAACGCGGCAGAGCCGCCGACGGTACATATTCATCACGACAGCGTCCCCTCCCCCTCCCTTTTCCAAAGCCACGATCGCACGTATTAGCCGGCGTGATTACGGGCCACGTCGCACGGTGGGCCAGGACACCGGTGGAGGCGGCCGAAACTCCAGACGCGTTTTGAGCTCCAGAGTCGCTAAACAGGACTGGAACTTGACGTGTGACCCCACCAATGGATTCGTCGTTCGGAGAGCAATCCATTGGTGGGGTCACACGTTCGTTTCGAGTCCCGCTAAGCGACTCTCGAGCTGAAAACGCGTCCAGGATTTTGACTGCCTCCACCGGTGTTCCAGCCCACTGTGCGCTGCTTCCCCTGGTCGCGTGTGCAGCGAGACAACTCATTCGGCACACAATGCCGCCCGGCGACAGGGCGGCATGAAGAAGGCATTAGGGCGGGCCGCGGCTGCCACCACTTTCCCTGTAGACTCATGCAGAGAGTCGTCCTCGTCGCTCCGTCTCTCTCGCACCCACACAGGGACGCCCCGCGAGTGCGAGAGAGCGGGAAAAGCGACTCTCGGAATCAGTCGTCTACCGGTTCGTCTTCCGTTGTCCCGCCTCGTTAGTCTGCTTCCAAACAGTCTCTGTCTCGCTCGCCCGCCTCCAGAACGCCACAGCGTGACGTGTGGGAGAGGGAGAGAGAGGGAGAGAGAGAGAGAGAGAGAGAGAGAGAGAGAGAGAAAGAGAGAGAGAGAAGAGAGAGAGAAAGAAAAGAGAGGAAGACTCGCCTTGCAGTGTGGCCGCCAACAACTCGCTTTTAATTCTCCTCGCTGCCCCGCCCGGCCCGGCCTCAATACTTCACCCGCGCACAACATCCCCCGGGGAGCGCCCCGAGCGCCGGGATGGTTTAGGGGGGAGGGGGTGGGGGGCGAAAAGGAGGAAGGGGCCCGGATTCATATGGTAAACAAGGCGTCGCAGGGCCTGCCGAGGCGTTGGCGAGGTCGTCGGGGTCGCGCGCGCGCTGCCGTGGTCCCCCTGGAGCGGATCGGGAAGAGAGAGAGAGAGAGAGAGAGAGAGAGAGAGAGAGAGAGAGAGAGAGAGAGAGAGAGAGAGAGTGAGAGAGAGAGAAGTGAGAGAGAGAGAGAGTGAGAGAGAGTGAGAGAGAGAGAGGGAGAGAGAGAGAGAGTGAGAGAGAGAGAGAGAGAGTGTGAGAGAGAGAGAAATATATATATAGAGAGAGAGAAAGAGAGAAGGAGGGGGCAGAGTGCGACGCGACGACGTGTCCTCATCATCGAGCAAGGACGCCGCCACTTGTAAATGCATGGCCATGACCTAGCTCCCACACGTGTGTGTGTGCTTGTGAGGTTGTGCTTGAGGTGGTGTGAGAGTGTGTGTGAATGGGGACCTCCTATTCACAGTCAGGCGCCGCAAGTCAACCAAATTGTCCGCAGATCCAGATCTGGGTGCAGAGAGAAAGGGCCCAAGGAGACGGGCGGATGCCGAAGGGCTTGGCGGTCGGGTAGACAGACAGACAGACAGACAGACAGACAGACAGACAGACAGACAGACAGACAGACGGGCGGCGGAGCGCGGTCGCTTTTCTTTCCTCCCGGAGAAAAAATAATGGCAGAGAAGACGGCGGAGCAGCAGGGAAAAGACAGAAGTAAATCGCCGGGGCACCACGACGGCAACACGACGTGGGATTTCGGTTTGTGGCTACAGCCGCCGCGCTGAGGCAGCCGGGCAGGGGGGAGTAGGAGGGGAAGGGGGGGGGCACACTTCAATTTAATCAAGCGACAGGGATCATTTTCACGTCGAGACTGCCAATGGAGCGATGAATAAACACTGGGATTTTTCCTGCCGCGTAAATGTGGTCGCCATGCCGCGACCCACGCCACTGCAACACCGGCCTGCCCGGCTCCGGGGAGTCCTTTTTACCTCGTTTTCCGGTTTTCCGCGGGGAAATGATTTTACCGGAAGTCTCTTCTTTTTTCCAGATTTTTTTTCTGGCTTCCCGAGAAGGCCGGGGAAATTCCGATGTGACTGCCACACTGCCACCTCCATTGAAGGGTGAATTGGTCCCGGCAAGCCTCGACCGCCCCGACCGCCTCGGCCGGCTCCACAGTGGGCCAGAAGACCGGTGGAGGCGGCCAAAACTCTAGACGCGTTTTGAGCTCCAGAGTCGCTAAATGGGACTCGAACCGAACGTGTGACCCCACCAATAGATCGCTCTCCGAACGAGGAATCCATTGGTGGGGTCACACGTTCGGTTCGAGTCCCATTTAGCGACTCTGGAGCTCAAAACGCGTCTGGAGTTTTGGCCGCCTCCACCGGTCTTCTGGCCCACTGTGGGCTCGGCCGGCGAGGCTGGCGGAGCTCCTCGAAGTAGATTTAGGCAGCCCAACGAGGCGGGATAGTGGGGTCAGTATCAGGGCCTTGGTCGAGCTGGCGGCGAGGTGGCGTGGCGGGGCGTGGCGGGGCGGGGCGGGGCGGGGCGGGGCGCAGCGCGGCGGTCGGCCTACTGAATAAAACATGCTGACTCGAGAGGGCAAGGGCCCGGGCGGGGGGAGGGGGCGCGGTGCTGGACACGCCAGGTGAGAAGGGGGTGGGGGAGGCCTCGCACCTGCCCGCTGGTGCCCTGCCCAGGCCCTGCCTGCCGGCACACCTTCCTTACCTGTCGGCCCTGCTCCAGCCCCTCTTGGAAATCTCTCGCACCCCGCTTTCCATCACGCGTCCTGACCACCCCCTTTTTCTTACCCCTCCCCACCCCTTCCCCTCGCCGACCCAACGCCGTCCTCTTAGGACGGAATGAGACGTCTGGCCAACAGGTGGCGCCTGGCTCGCCCTGCGTCTCCTAAAAGACTGCCGAACCCGGACGCGGCACCACCGGTACGCGAACCCGGGTGAACCAAACGTGTGACCCCACCAATGGATTGCTCTCCGAACGAGGAATCCATTGGTGGGGTCACACGTTCGGTTCGAGTCCTGTTTAGCGACTCTGGAGCTCGAAACGCGTTTGGAGCGTCGGCCGCCACCGCCGGTCTCCCGGCCCACCCGGTACTCACCGTCTTCTTGGCGAGGCGCGCCTTGAGCAGCTCGTCGTCCAGCCAGCGCCACTGGCCGGCGGGGTCCTCGTCGTGCACGCGGTTCTCGCGCACCTCCCAGGGCTCCCGCACCACGCCGGCCACGCCCTCGCGGCTGCGCCGCGGCTCCCACGCGTCGCGCGAGTAGCCGCCGCCGCGCCCGGGACTCTCCAGCCACAGGTTGGTGTTGAGCGCCACGATGCGGAGCGGCTTGCCGCGCTGCTCGATCGTGTAGTAGCCCCCTGCGAAGGTATTAGGGCGTTAGGACTTTGTCGCAGTGTATTCGACAGGACCAAGGTAAGGATCCAGAGGCGGACAAAATTCTTGTCGCGTTTTGCGCGGCAGAGTCGCTAAATGGGACTCGAACCGAACGTGTGACCCCACCAATGGATCCCTCGTTCGGAGAGCAATCCATTGGTGGGGTCACACGTTCGGTTCGAGCCCTGTTAAGCGACTCAATCTGAAAACGCGTCTTGAACCGGTCCTCTGGTCCACTGTGAGACGCTTACCTTTGTAGAAGGTCGGCATGGCCTCCTCCGGGAGCCAGTTCCGCCACAGGTCGGCGGCCTGCTTGTAGTGGTCGGCGTGCCGCATGTCGGGGCCCAGCACGGGGAACACGAACTGCGACGTGAAGGCGCGCAGCAGCAGCTGCGTCACCACCTGGGTGGCCTGGGAGCCTTGGTCGTGCCCGGACACGGGGCCCGCCCTGCAAGCAACGCCGAGCAACGCCACCATTAGGACCCGCTTGCCAGATCCGGCCGACTATCCCAGCAGAACAGGCGTATCTGTGGAGCGACCGCAAGAAAAGGCGGATCTGTAGGAGGCCCAAGAAGAAGGGCGGATCTGTTTTCGATACCGCATAAAAGGGCGGATCCCACTTTTTTGGTCGATTTTTTGAGTACTAAATCAAAATAATCCTTACTTTCTAAAACGTATTTTTAAACAAAAATCTCAAAATCGACCAAAAAGTTGGATCCGCCCTTTTTTGCGGTATCGAAAACAGATCCGCCCTTCTTCTTGGGCCTCCTACAGATCCGCCTTTTCTTGCGGTCGCTCCACAGATACGCCTGTTCTGCTGGGATACGTCACTCTGGCAGTGTAGGAGCCCCGCCGCCCGCCGCCGCCGGTCTCTGTGGCAGAACGCTGTACGATATTGCGTGCCATCTGGAAACAGTTGAGGCATCTCGGGTTGCATATGGAATGCACCCCACGGAGCGAATGAAACACCATTGTTGTGGCGAAGAGCCATTTGGGCATCCCCCCCCCCTCTCTCTTTCAGCTCCTGGTTTCTGTCCCTCCATAGCTCGCGCACTTGCAAACGCGCGCACACGCTCGCTACACTAGAACATTCACGTACATGTTCGCATGCGCACACTCGCGCGCTCTCTCATAACCTCCCACACCACTAGCCTCAGAAACGCACGCACACACTGAAACTCACACACACGCACACACACACACACGCACACACACACACGCGCACACACCATACGGGCGGCCATTTTGCAGGCCGCAGAATGTTAGGTCGCCGGGCATCTCATTGGGGTGTGGCGGCCGCGGCGGCCCGTATTGATTCCGCCAATAACTCTGAATCAAACATTCTCGGAACATTGTCACGGAAATGGCGTGTGACAGTGCGGCCGATGTAGCAGTGCAGCGGCTTATTGGTGGAGGGGGAGGGGGAAAGCACCGCGGGCGGCATTGTCGAATCTGGTGCTGGGACCGGTTACCACGTTGTGCATCGGGGTTCTTTAAATTAATATTATTATTTTTCTTTCGTTTTCTTCTGCCAACGATTGCAGTGCCGGCTTGCCTGAAGGCTTGCCCTTTTGCCCTGATGCCCTCGGCTTTCCGTGGGGTTTTCTGTTAAGTATTTTGCTGGGTTTTCCGTGGGGTTTTCCCTCGCCAAATCAAAGCGGAAAATTAAAATAACAATGGCAACGTGCCAAGTCCCGCGGGTGCGGATGGAGGTGTACATTTCGTATCGGCCGCCCCGGGGCGGGAGGGGGCCGCCAGGGCCGCTCGGGGCCAGGTGGGGCTAGCCTGCCGCCCCGCCAGGCTCTCCGCGAGGGAGGTCCTGTCAGTCTGTCTCTCTCGCACCGGTGCGGAGTACCGCACGAGTGCGAGAGAGAGAGAGGGACCGTCCTCTCGGAATCAGCCTGTAGAAGGACAAGGCGCGCACATTCGGTTTACGGGCTGAGCCTGCCGGGGCCTGCAGCGCTGCGGGAAAGCCTACCTCAAGGCTGGCCTCCGGGCTGGCCTCAAGGCCGGCGTGGCAAAGACTCGCAACGCGACGACGCCACTGGGAAATGGGTCACCGCCTGCGATCCGCCATCCTCGGCCATCCTCGGCGCAAATGTGACAGAAATAATAATTCGGCCGGCGGCGCGACGCGAACCCGGGCCGGAGGGACCGAAGGGCTGAACGCAAAATTGCCCGGAAGAGCGCTTGCGCTCGGCATGCGCGGCGGCGGCGGCACGGAGCCCAGCAGAACCAGGGTCGCCCTAGATTCGCTGGGGACACCTCAGACAAGACCAGTCACACTGGCATAGATGTGACAGACACGCCCTAAATATAACCCTCCATGCATCGCTAAATATACCCCTCATGCATCCTAGATGTATCCATGTATCCTAGTCCCCAGGCGCGTTCTAGGGAGCCTAGCGGAGCGGTGTCCTAGAGAGCCTAGCGACGTCCTGGAGTCGGCCTAGAGTCGACCCAGAGATGAAGACAGCCATCCGTCGTCTCGGAATGACGCTCATGGCGCCTCATGGTGCCTCATGGCCAACCAGGATGTATCTCATAGTCGCCCCGACGGTTGGCCACTCTATTTTTCACAGTGCTGCGGCCTGGGACGGGGAAGGTCGTGAAGAAATGAGAGCGAATCGTGGGGAACGGGGGGAAGGGGGAGCGGGAAGTCTGGCCTCTCTATAATATATGTCAACCCATAAGCAGTGGAGTCCTCCCCGACGCCCCGGCTCCGCAGTGGCTTGCTTTCTTTGGTTTTGACCTAGTTATGGAACAAGTTTATGCTCCGCCTTTTCCTACATTAGTCGCCGTTTCGGCCGCGCCAAAAAAGTGCGACAAAACGACAGAATGACCGCTGTGCGGACGGCGTGAAGTCGCAGTTTGGCGGGAAGGGGAAGTCGGTGCGACGCTGCCGTGGAAAATTGCTCGGACGTCAGCAGGCAGAAGCACCCACCGCGCGCTAGAGTTGCCAACCTCAGCCTGCCTTTTTAGACAATTTATCGATGATGAAGCCAAAAGGTTTTGTCTCGCAGGCCTCGGTTAGCAACCTTACTGCATTTTTGAAAGGCCGAGGTTGGCCAACAATTTCGGGGGCCAAACCGGTTGCCCATGGGGGGCCCCGGGATTTTTTTGCGCACCTCGTACTCTTTTGGCAGCACTGCGGCGAGGCAAGGCCGCCCCGCCCGCGCACCTTTGAGCGTCACCCCTCCCACTTTCATCTCGCCCTTCCTGGGATCGCTTACGCACGACGCCGCTCGAATTACTTTCATTTTGGCGCGAAACCGGAGCCGCGTGCGCGGCCGTACAGTGTCGTGGTGACGCGGCGCTAAACGCGTTTTGCGGCGATGCGGGCGATCGAGAGCCACGGCCTTCTTATTGGATTGGCCGGAGTGTGTGGCACACTGTGTGCACTCCAAGGCGCGCTCGAGAGGGCTGTGCCCACCGGGCCGTGGCCACACTGTAAAGCCAGCCGCAGGCGTGGGCTGTACACCTCCAGACGCGTTTCGAGCTCCAGAGTCGCCAAATGGGACTCGAACCGCACGTGTGACCCCACCAATGGATTCCTCGTTCGGAGAGCAATGCATTGGTGGGGTCACACGCTCGGTTTCGAGTGCTGTTTGAGCGACTCTGGAGCTCAAAAGCCGTCTGGGATTTTGACGGCCTCCACCGGTCTTCTGGTCCACTGTGGAGTGGAAACTTACCCGGTCCAGAGGACGAAGTCGACCTCCTTGGCGATGTCCTTCATGGCCGTGGTGGCGGACTCGAGCAGGGCGAGGGGCGCGTCGCAGTGCAGGTCGCCGAAGCGCCCCTCCGGCCGCTGGCTCTCCCGCATGCCCAGCCCGTTGCCGTTGCCGCTCCACCGCCGGCAGTCTGCAACAGGGAAGCAAGGTTCAAATACCACCCTCCTCCGCCCTCTTTTCAGCGTTTTTCATGATTGCACTGTCGTGCTCCGCTGCGCACTGAGCCAAAAAGCGGACCCCGCTGGCCGGGTATTCGAACCCGAGCCCAACACGCGACCGTTTTGCGGCTGGTCGCACAGCCAAGCCGGGGCATGATTCCATTTGCACGGGTCACCATAATCGGATCCCGTTCTGTCGCAAGCGTGTTGTGTCGGGGCATTTAGCGTCAAAATAATCCTCCCCCCCCCTTCCCCCGTGCAGAGGGCTGCCAGCCCACCCACCGCGCTGATAGCACAGTGGGCCAGACGCCCGGTGGAGGCGGTCAAAACTCTGGACGCGTTTTGCGCTCCAGAGTCGCTAAATGGAACTCGAACCGAACGTGTGACTCCACCAATGGATCACTCTCCGAACAAGGAATCCATTGGTGGGGTCACACGTTCGGTTCGAGTCCTGTTTAGCGACTCTGGAGCTCAAAACGCGTCCAGAGTTTTGGCCGCCTCCACCGGTCGTCTGGCCCACCGTGGATAGGTGGTGGGAGAGCCCTGTCTGCCGGACGCCCATCTTACACAGTTTCCTCTTGAAAGCCCAGATGCTAATGTTTCGAGATCCATTTCCAAGCCGTGACCCGCGCCTCGCCTCGCCATCCCCCTGAATCCGCTCGCTTGGCATGATAATTTATGGATGCGCCCCAACTGCAGTAGGATGAGAGTCGCCAAGACTTGGGGGGGGGGGGGGGGGGCAGTGACCGCGCAGGCCAGGCCGTGGGGGCCGCGGCCCAGCCCATCTCTCGATGCATTAATTCGACATTTGTTTCCCCGCCTCCCCATCTTGGTTCATTTACCGGATGTGGGGCTCGTAAATCCCCGTCATGTCACTCGCCAAGCCAGGACGGTAATAATGGGAACCTGGGTTCGACTACCAGCCGAGCCGGTAGGCAAACGGATTTTTTGGTGTTAAGTTTTCTTTTTGTTTTGTTTTTTTCTGTGAAATGCTCCGGCCAAGCGTGTTTTCCCGGTGGGTTCCTCGCTGCCGCGCTGGCCACAATAAGGAAGCGAAGACCGCGAGGGGGTAACGACTTCGGGAATCCGGCTGACAGCAAATTGGTAATCCGTAACCCGGATGACCCGAAATTTAGAGGTAATCCGGGGTAATCCTGCTAAATCCATAGGTAATCCAGGAATTTTTTTGTTGTAATCCGGAGGTAATTTGGGGGTAATCCGGGGTAATCCGTAATTCGGCTGACACGAAATTTACCAGTCGTTACCCCCTCGGAGATCGCCTCGCCTGCCTGACTCGCCTGCAGACTGACTCGCTGTCTCTCTCGCACCTGCCCGGGACGGCCCATGAGTGCGAGAGAGACAGAGCGACGAAGCAGTCTGCCTCATTGGAGTAATTTCTGCCCCGGATCGGACCGAGCGGCCGGGCCAGCCACGGCCGAGCCACGACAAGTGGGATTTGAATAGCCATAAAGTGGCGCGAAAGTATCCAGACCGAAAAGAGGAAGCGGGAGAGAGAGAGAGAGAGAGAGAGAGAGAGAGAGAGAGAGAGAGAGAGAGAGAGAGAGAGAGAGAGAGGATGAGAGGGTGGCGGAGTGGGAGCGAGAGGGAAGGGGTAACGGATTGGACGACCGCACGGGGCCTGAGCGCGGCAGCCAGCAGTATTAGCAGAGCACAGCGGCTAGGCGGCGCCACTGCCACGGTTCGAGCAGCAGGCCTGATGGTCCTGGGACCTCAGCCAAGACGTAGCCGCACTCAGTGGGGGGCTTCCCCCTCCCCTCCCTCGCCCCGCCGCCGCCGCGCTCAGAGGGCAGGCGACCGACCGCCACCGGGAGTTGCAACCAGGAAAAAAAAAGCACGCAGACAAATACAAAACGAGAAACATGGGTGGTGCAAACATTTGACAGTCGTAATATGAAATTTAATCCGGCTTTACGCGCGGCCCCCGTAATTGTTTCTCGCCACCGCTCTTGTCACGTCCGCCCTCTTTAAAATTCCAGTGCTGGCGCGGCACGGCACGGCACGGCACGGTGAGGCACGGCACGGCACGCCACGGCACGCCGCCGTGCTTCCCCAGATTTGCTCGCCTGAAAAGACGGCGCTGGCGGTCGGTGGGAGTGTCGTGTCGACGGCCTCGGCGCCGCACCGGAGAGGCGGCTGAAAAATCTGTCCCGGAACAGCGCCGCCGCCATGCTGGACGCGTCAGTGTTGCCACACTGGAGGACGAAAATTCCCATAGCCTTCTGTAACGCCACGGGCTAGTTCCAGGAAGTCCCTGCGAAAAGCAAGCACCGTTTTTGCAGTGCAGGGCCGCACTGCAAGGCTTGGCTCGGCCTGGCTCGGCCCGGTTTGGCCGGTCCCAGAGTCTTTTCCCTCCACACCTGGAAACTTGCGTGCCCGCCGTGCCCGCCGCGCCACTGTACTCTGAATTCCCAGCCGAGCGATTGCGAAGTGTCGCTGCGTCGCTCTGTCTCCCTCGCGTCCCCAGGGGCCGCCCCGCGAGCGCGACAGAGACAGAGCGACGCCCTTCGCACTCGGCCCTGCTGCGGGTCGTGGCACGGATCCAGGACCCGTTGCTTCCCCGTGACAGGGGCGGGGGGAGGGGGGGGGGGGTTGACTCGGCTGACTGAAGCTCAGCCTGTCACCCCTCCGGGGCCCTGTAGCCCCCCGTAGGCCCCCTGGCGGGGATGCCCGTCAGCTCTGACACCTCGTATTGTTTCCACCTCGTGCCGTCCCCCAGGCCCCGCCGCCCCGCCGCCAGGCAGCCAGCCAGGCAGCCAGCCAGGCAGCCAGCCAGCCAGAGGCACATCGCGGCGCGGCGCTCCGAAGAGTGTCCTCGCGATCCTTCGCGGCCCGGACCGCGGTCCGCCCCGACTACACTGTGTAACTCGGCGTTCACACAAAGGACAACAACAACGGAAAACGCCACTTGTGGGAAGCATCACGTAATGCAAGTCGGTGCTTACCAGGAAGCAGGGGTCGCCTCCACAGCCCACACATTGCGCAACGTGCTCTGTCTCTCTCGCACGACGGACAGTCCATAAGGAGGTACTACACAAAGAGAGCCATGCAATAGGGTTGCGCAATGCGTGGAACAAGTCAAGTAAGCCAAACACTGCCGGCCATGGCTCATGGCTTTCACATCAGCATCCCTTTCCCCCACCACTGTCGTGACACACCACCTTTAAAAGTGCCCAAGCGTCGGTGGCCCGTGCGCGCGCGTGTTCAAAGGCCCCGCGTTCCGCTTCTTCCCTTTTCCCCATTTTCCGGCCAACTCGCCCCAAATTCTGAAAAGCGCGCTGACAGCGTGCTCGGCCGGCCCGGCCCGTGGCACCGAAAGAATCGCATGAAAGCGTGTTTTGTTGCAATCTAATGGAAAGCCGTGGCGTGGCGTGGCGTGGCGTGGCGCGCGTGGCCCGCTTCGACCTCCATTTCATCCAATTTGAAGCTCGCGCCGTGTGAAGCGTGCCTCTAATGCACAGGTGTATCATTATGGCTAAAAGGGTGCCGCTAGCGGGGCGGGGCGGGGCGGGGCGGGGCGGGGCGGGGCGGGGGGGGGGGGGGGGGGCGGGGCGGCCGGATGGCTTTTTGCGGCCAGACATTCGTTGTGCCGCCACTGCAAGACCGCGAGCACGGCGAGAACGCCGGGTATGCGGCGTTCATATTGCGGCCCGGTCTGGATCTGGGCACGTGGCGTGGCGTGGCGTGGCATGGCGTGGCGTGGCGTGGCGTGGCGTGGCGCGGGACGGGACGGGACGGTTCCTGGAATGGAGGGCTTCTCCGGGTAGGGCCGCTGGAAGCAGGGCTGGAAGCTGGAGTTGGAATCCGGCGGGGTTGTCTGCGACTCAGGCCCCGCGGGTTAACTCGAGCGCGGATTTGAGCAAGCGCGTCGATTGATTTCTCATGAGTGCGACGAGGAGGGAGGCTGCCTGCTTCCCCCGCTTTGGCGGCGCAGTACCCGCGCGCTCCGTCCGGGTCACGGGTCTCTATGTTCTCGTCGGGACCAGAGCTCGTCGGCACAGCGAGCCCGAATTAGTTTATGGAAATAACGGGGCCTTGGCACAAAAACTCGTCAAAATGGAGGCCGTGCACTGCCAGCTCCCCAGCGGCCCGCCGCCCCCGCAGCCCCCGCAGCCCCACAGGCATCCTGCGACGAGCCCTTTTCCATACTTGTTCCACCAACTTCACAGGCCCGCCATACAGCCACGAAAATTCTGATTTAAATTCAACTAGCCGACCGTCTGCTGCCTACATTATCAGTGTTGTTGCTGTTGTGTGTTTTGTCTAGCCGTGGCCCCGGCGTGGTAGCGGGGCGTGGCGGCAGGGTGTGGCGGTGGCGGTGGGCCCATATCGAACTTTGTGTTTGGCCCGCCTTTTTGCCAACGGTTACATCCGGCCAGGACTACTTAAGCCCCAGCCATTTGCCCTCCCGAGGGTTCGTGGTGGTCCGCTCTCCGCCGCCACCCCCTCCCCCCTTCCTCCCCCCTCCCCCTTCCCCTCCCTCCCCTCCTCCCCCGCGACGTCTCCAAAGCCCCTGGTAGCCGTTCCGCGCTCTATCCCACGCGCCGTGGAGTGGTTTTCGTTAATCGCCTCACCGCACTGTAAAGACGGACAGGCGGACGGAGACAGACAGACAGACAGACAGACAGACAGACAGACAGACAGACAGACAGGACAGACAGACAGACAGACGGATAGACAGAAAACCGCGAGGTCAAAGGCCAATATAGATCGATAGCCGGTGGCGAGATTGACTTTGGCTCTCGCGCCTGTTCGTTCTTTCGAGAAACTTACTGTGCCGAATGTCCCCGTCCAGCGAGTAGTTGACGTCATAGTGGAGGTCGGATATGTGCCAAAAGTGACCTGCAACACACACACAAGAACAAAACGGTTACCACACCATTAAAAGGCAAGCGAGCCCCTGCCCTCCCCCGCGCAAAACAGCTTGAATGTGATATCCAGTCGTTAAAAAGCGAGAGTTGATCCATTGAAGGGGCCGGGACACTTCAGCAGTGGCGTAGCAGTGGCGTGGCAGTGGCGTGGCAGCCGCAGGTAAAAGGTTGCGGCCGCCCGAAAGGTTATGCCGCCCCTTCTAAAAAACGCGCAAACTCTTTCCGTTTTTGCTTTTTTTTCTCACCAAATGCGGCCTTTTGGGAAAACGACGGCGGGTGGAGGGAGAAGACATGGGAGGTTGCACGAGAAAAAACAGATGTCCCTTTGGGGACACACCGCTGCTAGGCAGGTTATCTTTTTAAAGCGGCGCGCGGTGGAAAGTACACGGAACGACAAACAAACCGGGCTCCACAATTTTTTGAATTTTCGTTCTTCTTTTTGGATTATTTTGTCCGGACGCGGCGTGTTTGAAATGAAAAGTTTTGCGCGTCTCCAATGGTCGCCGGCCGCGTCGGGCTCACCGCATTGTGTGTCTTGCTTAACAGAATTAGAAACAAACTCCTTGTACGCGCGCGTGGCACCTCGGAGGAGGGGAGGGGGAGCGGGAGGGCCGAACTCGCGGAAAGAATGCAAAACTTGGTACCGGAAAAGGAACCTAGAGAGAGGGAAGACGTGACCGGGGCACAGTGGGTAGTCTAAGAAGACCGGTGGAGGCGGCGTCAAAATCCCGGACGCGTTTTGAGCTCCAGAGTCGCTAAATGGGGCTCGAACCGAACGCGTGACCCCACCAATGGATTCCTCGTTCGGAGAGCAATCCATTGGTGGGGTCACGCGTTCGGTTCGAGTCCTGTTTTCGGCTCTGGCGCCCAAAGCGCGTCTAGAGTTTTGTCCGCCTGCGCCCCACCGTCAAAACGGTACCTGGTTTTTCCAGGAAGCCTATGGTAGAGGCATAGGTGATTTCCAGGGAGCTCATGGGAAAACCAGGAACCGTTTTTACCGTGCGGTCTTCCGGCCCACTGTGCTGGGGCAGTAGTCCGAATCAAAAACCGCGTCGAGCACGAAACGGACGGGAGACGGCGGAGGATGAGAAGACGGAAATGGCAAGCGGGGCTAGAACCAGGAGGGGAAAAGGAAGGAATTAAAAGGGAGAGGGAAGAGAGCAACGAGGTCTTCGTTATAATATTACGAGCGATGCGGTGTGTTGGACTCCAATTAAGGCAATGCGAATCCACTGGCAGCTCTACTCTCGTCAGCTGCCAGCAGGGTTGCCACCCTCGCCCCAATTAAACGGCTTGACACTTTAAAAACGCCGCTCTCAGCGGTGTGGCCCGGGGCCTGGCCTGGCCGGGCCCCGCCTCGCCTGCCGAGGGGAGCGAGAGAGAGAGTCAGTCAAAATACTTTGAGAACTCGCCAAAGAGTAATGACAGATGGTCGTCATTTTCGGGGATTACACCTCAAGTGCTCCCAAGATAAAGCAATTTCTATTGTTGAAGTTGTCGGCCTGCGCCCTGCCAACTTTGTCCCAGACAGGTGGTTGCCTGGCGGGTCGGCGTCTCAATTTTCGCCTCTTTTCTCGCGCGGGCATCTCCATAATTTTGCGCGCCAAACATTTGCCGGGGAAGCCGGTCCCGGACCGCATTCATCCCTTTTCAAGGGGATTGCTGCTGAATGGCGACACAGCACTGCAAGGCGTGTCGTCAGCAGCCGGGGGAAAAACGAGGCAACAGAGATTGCCCAAGTTGAGGCTGTTGTCGAAATATTGTGTCGCCGAGCGAACAACAGTGTGCTGGATCCATGTTTTTTCCCGGATCCAGCTTCAATCTTCCCGCGGCACTCCGCCCTTCCGCGATGAGGTCAAATTTCGGCGCGGCGTCTCCCCCGCCAAACTCCTAATTAACAATATTCCTCGAAATAAGAGAAACATGGCGTCTCCATAGATTTCTTTGTCCCCATTGTCTCCGTTTTTTCCGGGCCGAACAGTCGGTCACGGCAACAATGGACAATAATTCCGCAGCCCGACGCTGCCGCACGCCGCCGCATTGTCTCTGGAACAATGGTGCCTCATCCTCATGAGGGCCCCGAAGAGCCCCAAGACGGCCGTGCGCCGAAGCGTGCGACCATTTTTCGACATGATTCGCTTTGCGGCCGCTGGGCGGCCGCTCGGCGTTGTGTAGTGTATGCACCCGGAGTGCCGTGCTGCCGAAGCACAGTGGACTGAACCTCAAGACGCGTTTTGAGCTCCAGAGTCGCCAAACAGGACTCGATCCGACCGTGTGACCCCACCAATGGATTCCTCGTTCGGAGAGCAATCCATTGGTGGGGTCACACGTTCGATTCGAGCCCTATTTAGCGACTCACTGTGAAACCGGTGGCGCGAAAAAAAGGAACTCACCAACTGATGGTTGCGATAGGACGGACGAGACGGCCAGGAGCGGCAAGACGAGCAGGCAGCCAGGCAGCAGCCAGGCAGCCAGCCAGGCCGCATGGCGAGGCCGTTCACCCCTGCAAACAGACAACATTAACAATTAAGACAAATATGGAAGGACTAATCCACACTCGAACGAGCCGGGCGGCGAAGCCCAGGGGGACCGAGGCTCAAGTAGTTCCTGAGAGATTTCGGAAGGTCGGCACGCCTCTCGAGCGAGGGCGGACGGGGCGGACATCGGCGAAACAGCGTGGAAGACTCGAAAGGCCAGCTCAAGGACGTCGCACGCCCTCGAGCGCGCGGACCGCTGACATCAGAGATTACGAAACGTAAGCGTGTTGTAATGACTGACAGAAAAGGCAGCAGCCTCAAGGACTGTCAGCACCGCCCTCGAGACGCGTCGAGACGTCTAGCTGTCTCGTCTGGAGCACTTTATTCATGAAGGCGGCGGCAATCTCCACACTCTGGGTCAGCAAAAGGGACGGGCCACAGTGGGCCAGAAGACCGGTGGTGGAAGCGGACAAAACGCTAGACGCGTTTTGAGCTCTAGTGTCGCTACGTAGGTAGATGGGACTCGAATCGAACGTGTGACCCCACTTATGGATTGCTCTCCGAACGAGGAATCCATTGGTGGGGTCACACGTTCGGTTCGAGGCCTGTTTAGCGACTGTAGAGCTCAAAACGCGTCTAGAGTTTTGTCCGCCTCCACCGGTCCTCTGGCCCACTGTGCGTGCCCTGCCTGCTCTCGCCTTGCTGGCCGCCGCTCGCTGGGCCTCGGTGGAGCCAGACCACATCAAGCGGACAGGTGACCCAGGTCGTCCCAAGCGGAAATACGCACAGCGCTGCAGAATTCATTACCGTGACGCTCGCTTCACTCAGGGACTGCTATGACGGGAACGGCACACGGCATGCTTGATTGATATCAACTCGCAATGTGCGGCAACTTTACTCGCCATGTTTGTTTTTTCGCTGGTTTTGTTTCTGCAATTGTTGTTCCAGCTTTGTCATCCGGTGATGGGACACGACGGCAGTGGAAAACGAGCGCACAGTGGGCCAGAAGACCAGTAGAGGCGGCAAAAACTCTAGACGCGCGCTCCGGAGTCGCTATATGGGACTCGAACCGATCGTGTGACTCCAGCAATGAATTGCTTTTCGAACGAGGAATCCATTGATGGGGTCACTCGTTCGGTTCGAGTCCTGTTTAGCGACTCTGGAGCTCAAAACGCGTCTAGAGTTTTGGCCGCCTCCACCGGTCTTCTGGCCCACTGTGGAGGCGAGCTCTGCGCTGCGTCCACGGGCTGTGTGGTGAAACGCGATGAGTACGCGTCGGTTTCTGACTCTTGTAAGCTTTCCTTACAACGTGAAGAAACAGTACGCAAAGTACAAAGAATAAAGTTGGCAAAGCATTTTCTTTACTATCGACAAATTTTCTTTGCAAATGCGAAGTAATGACACGCCGTAGTACTTTTTAAGGATTTTTTTTTAAGAGCAAACAAGTCAACAGTGTGCTACTCCGGGTGACATATTTTCCCGGCCTGGCGGCGTTGGTGGCTCCCCGCTCCCCCGACAGGCCGTCCGCACAGTGTCACAGTGTTCGGTGACCCCGATAGCCCCTCTGCTCGGCATTGGAGCGATGGACAGGGCTCGGCCGGGCCGCGCCCCGAGCGACATCAGCGGCCAAGTAGTTTGGAGACTCTCCGCCAGCACCTCGCTCGCCGCCACTTGACCGCTCCGAAGAGGCCGCACAGTGGGCCAGAAGACCGGTGGAGGCGGCCAAAACTCTAGACGCGTTTTGAGCTCCAGTCCAGAGTCGCTAAGTGTGACTCGAACCGAACGTGTGACCCCACTAATGGATTGCTCTCCGAACGAGGAATCCATTGGTGGGGTCACACGTTCAATTCGAGTCCCATTTAGCGACTCTGGAGCACAAAACGCGTCTGGAGTTTTGGCCGCCTCCACCGGTCTTCTGGCCCACTGTGGGCCGCCTGGCGTCGGGTCGCGTCGCTTCGCGTGGCGTCCGAAACGCCGCGACCCAATTTCGGCGGCCAGGTGGCTGCGCGCTGCGCGCTGCTGCGTGGCGCCCATGACCCAGCCACCTGTTGTGCGCACGGGGCGGTTCTACGCCGAGCGAGGAACGCTTCCGCGCTTCAGCGGCATTGAACAATTTCGAATCGTCGCACAGTGGGCCTGAAGATCGGTGGAGGTGGTCGAAAGCCCGGACGCGTTTTGAGCTCCAGAGTCGCTAAGAGGCCCACGAACCGAACGTGTGACCCCACCAATGGATCGCTCTCCGAACGAGGAATCTATTGGTGGGGTCACATGTTCGGTTCGAGTCCTGTTTAGCCACTCTGGAGCTCAAAACGCATCTAGAGTTTCGGCCGTCGGCGACGGTCTTCCGGCCCACTGTGCAGTGGCGTGTTCGACCTCACATGGCCGGTGACGTCGCCTCGCCGGCAGCGCGTCCATCAGGCCATCTAGTCATCGCTGTAACGGCGCTCTGTCACGCGGAGGTCGTCACCAGCAATTAGTGCATCCATCACCACCCGGCAAGCCGCCTGGCGAGCCGCCTGGGCATGCATGCGGCGCAAGGATAGGGTGACCATCAGGCAACTTTCATTTAGGGTGAACTATTTTTTACGGATTAGGTTCTGAACACTACCTTGTCGTCACGACCGCGTTTCAAGTTGGTTTCTGCCGAGCCGCAAAAATGGAAATTTGCCATTGCAGGAATGCCCCTTAACCATCCATTCCCCGAATGTGACATTTAATTGCTGCTACAAGTTTTAGTGTGATTGTTTTTCTAATTACTTCTAAGAATGAATTATGTGGCCATAGCACCCTAATGGTGTAAACCGGTGCCAAGAAAACAGAAGGAGGGCGCGAGGATTCGAACCCGAGGCCGCGGTTTGAAGGGCGAAGGGGCAGTGTGCGGGGTGTGATTTTGGAGGCGTGGCCTTTCGTGCTGGAATAGCGTTCTGGTTTATGTATAACTCTTGCAGTGTGGCAACTGAATTAATCCAGCCTCAGACCAGCGAGGGGAGGGGAGCGCGCTGTCTCCCATGAGGAATCCGTCAGCACTCCGAGAATTTCCTTTACGACCTCCGGCTGAGAGCTTCCAACTACTCGCCACAAGCCTTGCGGTTAAAAAAAAAACGAACTTTTTTTTAAGACGAAAGCTGAGCTTGGGAAGAACAACAACAGCAGACGTTTCATGAATTTCCACACGAGGTTTCACGTCCAAATAATAAAGATACTTTTTTTCTTCAGGCTTTTGAAACCAATATTAGTCGGAACCCATCGTAACCTACTTTGCGCTTCGCCAGATAAAATTCTCCTCTGGGTTCGTCTTTACATTCCGTGGGGGAATGGGGGCAACGGTTTGCTTTGGCAGCACACTGTGTTCGGCTGCACCGCAGCCAAACTTCGGCGCGCGTTCGTTGCTCGCTGTTTTCCCTGGATTCCTGCAGCCTGCCTCGCCGCTGCCTCGCCGCCGCGGGACGGAGCCAAGTTGTACGGCTTGGCGTCGGTTTACATAAGGATTATCCAGTGGAGCGAGAGCGGGCCTTTTATTTGTAGGTTGGGACCACTAGCGCCAGCGCGGGCCAGGCAGGGCCGGCCGGGGCCTTGGCTATCGCCCGGAAAAGCGGTAGGCTGAGGCGGCGCATCGCGGCTTCATCCCAGAAGCCAGCCAACCCACAGCCACTCCCCTTTTCCTTATTTATTTTTTGCACGCCGCGGTTTTTTCCACTCCGACCCCCTTTGCCTACTTCCACTGCTAAAAATGAGAGGCATGTTCGCTTTTTGCATTAGTAAATACTAAAATATTTTGACATCTCACTCGGACGGAGCAGCACAGCAACGAGTTTTTTCGCCCAAACCTCCTTAACATTTAAAGCGTAAACATCTTTCTCTGAAACCAACAACCAGATTATTTGTTTCTGTTTTATGTTTTTTCAAAGGATATAAATTTTACCTCACTGAACTAATCACTCCTATTAAGAGCCATTTGTTGAGTAAAAAATTCGCCCAAACGTAATTCTTCTCCACGCGAAAGCATTTTTTTCCCGCCGGCCATCTTCTTCGGCCTCCTTCCACAAACTGCCCCCCGAAGCACCGCGTCCCCGCTTATATTCGCTCGTGTTGAGAGCCTTCCGCTGTTACGGTGTGGTGGTGCGTGGAGCGTGTGTCGGGCTCAAGTGTGTACTTAAACAGGCCGAAACAGTATCGAGCAGCAAGTCCCATCGGATTTAACGCGGCCCATCCATAAAATAGCGCGTAGCATTGCCGCGGCCCTTTACCGAATAAATACGTGAGCAGGCTTTCCCGCATGCAAGGCCACGTACGCTCCGCCCGCCCCGCTCGGCCCCGCTCGGCCCCGCCTGGCTCCGCCACGCTGTTTGGCCAGCAGGCGGCTTCGCACGGCTACCGCTCGGCTACCACTCGGCTACCACTCGGCTGCCACTCGGCTGCCACTCGGCTGCCACTCGGCTGCCACTCGGCTGCCACTCGGCTGCCACTCGGCTGCCACTCGGCTGCCACTCGGCTGCCACTCGGCTGCCACTCGGCTGCCACTCGGCTGCCACTCGGCTGCCACTCGGCTGCCACTCGGCTGCCACTCGGCTGCCACTCGGCTGCCACTCGGCTACCACACGGCTACCACACGGCTACACCTCAGCCACCTCTTGGCATCCGTTCGTCCGCATCGAACGCCGGGCGGGCAGGCAACACGAGGACACGGGTGTTGCGCGGGCCTGCCTACCCTCCGCACCGCAGGCGCACTGGCCAAGCAGCGCCGCCGAAGCTTCCTCAGCGCGGCGTATTTTTTAACCAAACTGAATATAAAACAAGGAAATATGCAAATGAGGCGGAGTCCTTGGCGGGTGTATCTTTGCCGGGGCTGTAGCAACAAGGAGGTAGAGGGAGATAGCGCGCCAAGTCTCGAAAAGAGTGACGAGCGTCCAGACGGCGTTCGCTTCCGTGCACATTTCTCGCGATCTGTCCCAAAATACCCGGCGCGCTGCTGCGTCGCTTCCGTGCCACTAGTTCCACCCTATCGCCTG